GTGGGTTCAAATCCCAAAACACTGAACTTATAAGTTACTAAAAAAAAATGGATCTGATGGATCCGACGGATCCAATGGATTTTAGTTATATAAAAAAAGATCCGATGGATCTGATGGATCCGATGGATCTGATGGATCCGATGGATCTGATGGATCCGATGGATCTGATGGATCCGACGGATCCGACGGATCCGACGGATCCAATGGATTTTAGTTATATAAAAAAAGATCCGATGGATCTGATGGATCCGATGGATCTGATGGATCCGATGGATCTGATGGATCCGATGATCTGATGGATCCGAGGGATCCGATGGATCCGAGGGATCTGATGGATCCGAGGGATCTGATGGATCCGACGGATCCAATGGATTTCAGTTACATAAAAAAAATGGATCCGAGGGATCTGATGGATCCGACGGATCCAATGGATTTTAGTTATATAAAAAAAAATGGATCCGATGGATCTGATGGATCCGATGGATCTGATGGATCCGAGGGATCTGATGGATCCGAGGGATCTGATGGATCCGAGGGATCTGATGGATCCTAGGGATCTGATGGATCCTAGGGATCTGATGGATCCGAGGGATCTGATGGATCCCCGAGGGATCTGATGGATCCGAGGGATCTGATGGATCCTGGGGATCTGATGGATCCTAGGGATCTGATGGATCCGAGGGATCCGATGGATCTGATGGATCCGATGGATCTGATGGATCTGATGGATCCGAGGGATCTGATGGATCCGAGGGATCTGATGGATCCGGGGATCTGATGGATCCTGGGGATCTGATGGATCCAGGGATCGATGGATCCGATGGATCCGATGGATCTGATGGATCCGAGGGATCTGATGGATCCGACGGATCTGATGGATCCGACGGATCTGATGGATCCTAGGGATCTGCATTGGATCCATCGGATCCATCAGATCCCTAGGATCCATCAGATCCCTCGGATCCATCAGATCCCTCGGATCCATCAGATCCCTCTGATGGATCAGATCCATTGGATCCATCGGATCCATCAGATCCCTTCGGATCCATCAGATCCCTCGGATCCATCAGATCCCTCGGATCCATCAGATCCCTCGGATCCATCAGATCCCTCGGATCCATCAGATCCCTCGGATCCATCAGATCCCTCGGATCCATCAGATCCCTCGGATCCATCAGATCCCTCGGATCCATCAGATCCCTCGGATCCATCAGATCCCTAGGATCCATCAGATCCCTCGGATCCATCAGATCCCTCGGATCCATCAGATCCCTCGGATCCATCAGATCCCTCGGATCCATCAGATCCCTCGGATCCATCAGATCCCTCGGATCCATCAGATCCCTCGGATCCATCAGATCCCTCGGATCCATCAGATCCCTCGGATCAATCAGATCCCTCGGATCCATCAGATCCCTCGGATCCATCAGATCCCTAGGATTTTATATAACTAAAATCCATTGGATCCGTCGGATCCATCAGATCCATTTTTTTTTTAGTAACTTATAAGTTCAGTGTTTTGGGATTTGAACCCACAAACCAAGTAGTACTGTGGACGGTGGTCTGTAAACATTGGCACAACTTGCTTGTTCCGCATGCATAAATTTTTAACTAGTTTTTGGGATTGGATTTATTCAAATTTGAGGTGATTTTGAACACATATTGGTATGTTACTCATTATGATATGAGTAAAATATTGTTCGTTTATACATTGTTCTAGTTTCTATAGCTTTTTATTTGTCTTATCAGTTGAAATATATGTTGTGATTGTTTACGAAATATATTGAATTATTTGTGAATTGTTCGTTCATTTTATGCATGACGAAACCAGAAATTTATAGTTTGATGGTCACAACAAATTTGAGCATAAAAATGTTAAAATTGTACACTAAAACACTAGGTATTATATTCGAAATCACTGGAACACGACTAGTTTTAAATATGCTTGAACTGAATTTCATACATGCATGATTTCAAAAGTTTTTAAACAGATAACCGATCATAGGCGGCCCAGACGTGTATCAGTGTATAGTAAATATATCATTATAGAATATACTAAACAATAAAATTTGTAATGAATTTTATATTTTAAAATCATAGTTACTTGCCTATTTTGATTGTATGTGATCGTCTTTTATTTCTGAGCGACTTTACATTCGATGCCTGCGACTGTCTTCATAGGTGATAGTACTGAAAGCAAAGGCTAACGATTCCAATTCCCAAACAGCCGACACGAACAATTCAATTCGAAATATATCCCCTTCAAATTGCTTTGTTCCCGGTAAAACTTTGCCAGCGTATAGAATAAACACCCAACTTCGAACATACAACGCAATATTAACACGTCCTACAATTTTTGCAATGGATTTTTAGCGAAATGTTTGGAGACTAAAATTCTATGGAACTTAGAAAGACCGATAATTACTACGGCGCTTGCTTGGCCACCTAGCCTCCTTTACCGTTTGGATTGTCAGGGGGGGGGGGATTCAAATAAAAAACACCTATTTCCGGCAACAGCCAGCTAATCAACGCCGCAATACCGACTGTTTACAATATTTGAAATCTGATATTGCAATTTATCAACAACAAAACTCTTTCGATCGTTTACAGCTCTCTTTCTATCTTATACTATACGATCGATCGATTGCAAGAGTTTTGTTGCTGATAAATTGCAATATCAGATTTCAAATATTGTAAACAGTCGGTATTGCGGCGTTGATTGGCTGGCTGTTGCCGGAAATAGGTGTTTTTTTATTTGAATCCCCCCTCCCTGACAATCCAAACGGTAAAGGAGGCTAGGTGGCCAAGCAGGCGCCGTAGTAATTATCGGTCTTTCTAAGTTCCATAGAATTTTAGTCTCGAAACATTTCGCTAAAAATCCATTGCAAAAATTGTAGGACGTGTTAATATTGCGTTGTATGTTCGAAGATGGGTGTTTATTCTATACGCTGGCGAAGTTTTACCGGGAACAAAGCAATTTGAAGGGGATATTTTCGATTTGAATTGTTCGTGTCGGCTGTTTGGGAACTGGAATCGTTAGCCTTTGCTTTCAGTACTATCACCTATGAAGACAGTCGCAGGCATCGAATGTAAAGTCGCTCAGAAATAAAAGACGATCACATACAATCAAAGTAGGCAAGTAAATATGATTTTAAAATATAAAATTCATTACAAATTTTATTGTTTAGTATATTCTATAATGATATATTTACTATACACTAATACACTTCTGGGCCGCCTGTGATTTGATATATATTTGTGTGAAGAGCACATAGTCCAAGTATAGCGGGTCTATTATAAAGAGTCGGTCAGTATTTTCTTTGTAAAAATCGTGGCCGTAATTTTTCTTGTGCTGTAAAAGATAATATCGACCAGAAACGTCGGAAAGACAGCGCCAAAAGGAGGCAGATTTTCGTTGAGAATAATATTTAATTGCTGTATATTTAGGAATCCGCTAGCTGGCGAAACATTTGCAGTTTGGGTGTGAGATGTGAAAGAATTTTACATGAATAGGAACTATAATGGTTAGGGAAAGTACATTTATTCTGCCGAGTGGGGGGGATGAAGATGTTAAGGGGGGCACCGAAATATTTTCTGGCATTAAAGGGGGCGCTCTGAAAGTTCTCGATATACTGAAGGGGAGGGGGCTCTAAACTTTTACAGCGGGGGCCAGGAGTGTTCACTCCCACCATAGATAATATAATAGATGGTTTGGAAACTCCCCCTACTCTGAAATTCAGGCAAAAATCATGTAAAATTCAAGTTAAAATTTTGACATTTTCAGGTAAAATTTGCATAATAAAATGATTATTTTTGTGAAATTATAACCATTTTTGTAAAATACAGTCAATCTACATGCAATTTGTTTGCGAACTTGCTTTAGAAAATGCCAGAAATTCAGTCCTAGAGCTTCAAAAATGTAAACATTTTCTGGGTGAGGACCCCTAGACCCCCCTTTTCTCCCAAAACTTAGTATTAGAGTGCCAATCAATCACAAAAACTTTATCATAATTATTACTAACACGTATAACCCTCCGACACCCCCCCCCCCTCCAAACGTCAGATGCTTTGCTACGTCCCTGATGGTTGTATTCGAAACCAATTTCAGTTTTAAAATATCCTTAGTCTGCTCTTCTAAATGAATACATGAAATAAGCTATAGCTTATTTTAAATTTTTTGGCTCTAGGTTTGTGAAGTAAATTATCCGCCAAAAAAGAAGCGGTTCCAGAAACAAAAAAGCATACGATTTGTAAGAATGATATGTTCTATCTTTATGGGATATTTAGTACAAACGGGATGAAAATTAAAGAACATTTAAGCATACTGGCACATTTGCATGTATTTTTGACAGGCATGCAAAGACATTTGCAACAGATGCCAGGAGATACGTTCTCTAAGGTTCCAGCACATTACCCTGATCCAGGAAATCCTGGCCACTACATGAATGTGTTCAAGACTCTGACTACGCTGAATGACGGACAATAACAACCTGTTGATAATTTCGCCCCTAGAGCCAATCTAAAATTTTTTTTAAGACGGCGCTATTTTATCTGGCGCTAGTGAGGTGAAAAAAGCAGCAGGTCGGTATTTTTGTTGAGAAACACATGCTTGAGTATATCAGACATATATCTTGAGGAACTGCAAATTGTGTCTATGATAAGAGAGAATTCCGGATTGTACTCCTTTGATTCCGAATTTTGGAGGGGCGGGGGCATTGAAAATTTTAAAAACTTGGAGGGTGGCGCATCGAACTATTTACCAATAACCTCAACAGGGGCCCTGTAAAAATATGAGCTTTTTCTAAGACATCTTCATCGCCATCCCCCGCCCTCCACCCCCCTCGGCGTAATAAATGTACTTTCCCTTAATTACTATCTTTCGATCCGTACACTGTAAATTTCAAGCACTTGAATCCACTCCAAGAGTGTGTGTGCTAGTGTCACCGTTTTTGGTGAAAGAATAGCACTTTTAAAGCTGATTCATATAAAAATATAGAAATATAAAAATTACCTGAGGGGAAACTGTTCTTTTCTATGAATACGTTGAAGGTGGCAGGTATATACCTGAAGTTTCATGAATCAGTGGCTGTAAACCGTGAAACAAAGTGTGAAAGGCATTATAACACGAATTTTGTCGAAGACGAACCCGATGTTTTTACTGATAGATTTTTAAAATCGTTGTCTTGACTATATGTTTGGGTAAGTGTACGTTATAAACATTTAAGTGTGAAAATTCCATACGGTACCTGAGTTTTCGATTTCATTCAGATCTGTGAAATTTTTAGGCCTTTCTTAACTCGATAAATAACATTTTTATGCAAGCTTGTATTTACCTCACGAAATCGTGGTGATTAACATTATTGTTCATTTGGGACAATTATTGGACCAGGAACTGGTCCCAATCGCTGCTAATCTTCTTCTTCGTGGTGTTGTTGTTTTCCCATTGTAATGGGAACACCTTGAATTGGGATGGCGAGATAGATTATGATTAGATTATGGACCACAAAATAAGCTGCTTTTCAGTTAGGGTTTTTTATACGTGTATACGCACGGGAAAATTAGTTAATAAATCTTTCTATATATTAGTATAAGTATACCATAATTACGTCTTCAAATACACTGTAAATCCTACTCACAACTAAATTCTGTGCTTCTATTCATTTAATTCTTGGAAAACTTTTATACGGATTTAAACTTTTCCGTGCGTATACGCACATGCGTATGAAAACGCTTCAGCCAGCTTGTAGGAACAAAATTGCAGGAAACGTGTCAGTTATATTTGCGCGAGAAAATTTGTGGTAGAGAAAATGTTTATTCTTGTTCTGTTAGTATAAATATAGGCTAAAATGTGAGTGACTGCATGTATGTTATGTTGTAGATATAGTTATGTTGATGTTGTGTGTGAGTTATTTACGGTTGATACTGAATTGTCAAAGATGGCGACAAGACAACACGCCTCCAAGCGCTCTGCGCAAAATTCTAATATTTCGAACCCATGTACGCCAAATAAAACAGTGAAAAAAAGTGAAGAATCAAAAATCTAACACGCCTGAGTCAAAAACAAAAGAAGAACAAGAAGGTCAAAGCAATGAAATGAGTGAAATTCACGATATGTTCGCTATGATGATGAAGAAACTGGAGAAGCTTGACAGCATTGAAACGAAGCTTAACAATATGGAGATAAATATGGCTGAAATTAAATAGTCCTTAGAGTACGCGCACGCTGAAATCGCGGACTTAAAGAAAGAAAATGAATACAGCAAAGAAAATCAAGCACAAGCCAGGAAAAAATTGAAATTTTAGAACGCGATAATAAGACATTGAGCGATAAAATAATTGACATTCAAGCTAGATCAATGCGCGACAATTTACTTTCCTTTAACATGCCTGAATCGGAAAAGGAAAATACTACTGAAATGATTCACGAACTATTGGAATCAAAGATAGGAATAACCGACGCGCGCAATACAGTAAAGATTGATCGATCACACAGAATTGGCAGAAAGAGAGACGGAGATCGAAAGCCAAGACCAATAGTGGTCAAATTCAATTATCATCAAGACCGGGAATTTGTGCGACTCAATGCAAAAAAGCTGAGAGGAACAAGAATAGGAATATCCGAGCAGTTTCCCGAAGAAATTGAAAACATCCGTAAAACCTTATATCCCGAACTAAAGAAAGCAAAATTAGAAGGTAAAAGAGCAAAAATTGTTCGAGATAAACTCATTATTGAAGGTCAAGTTTTTAATAGATATAATAGTAGATATTGAAATTTGACACTCTCTTGAAATACTATAATATTTATACTTTTTGATACCTACTATTCACGACTTCGCATGTAGTTAACTAAAACATCTGAAATGGCTACTCTCAAAAATAAACAAAAAACAAATTGCTCTTCATGCCTCAAAATAATTGGAAAAACACAAAAATCAATTGAATGTCTGACATGTCGCAAACAGTTTCATGCTGTGACTTCATGCGTAAAATCACTTAACACTATCACAGGAAACACATTAGATACTTGCCAAAAATGCCTAAATAATATTTTACCATTTCAAACGCTTGATGATTTAGAATATCAATTCACTGTTCTAAATGGAAATTAAATAATGTCAGTGAAAAAGATATGGATAGGCTAAATAATCTAAAGTTCAACCCTTATGATGCAAGTTGTGACATTGCGGCGTTATCTGAAGCCCCGTTTACACGACAGTCATTTTGGGTACGGCACGCTTAAATTTTGGCACGCGGACCCATGCTTTTTGGTCCGCCTGTTGCGTTTACACGACGAAATTTTTGTTCTAAAACTTTTGGGTTCGGCACGCTTAAACTGGGAACGGCACTCTTACATTCAGGGTCAAAACCTTGACCTGACATGAAATATCTGATCTATTCAGCCATAACTTTTTGGTGTAGCGAAAAGTGTATTAAACTTTATTCCGAGCATTAAATTAACATTTCATTTTTACCAATTCTCTCAGCTTTCCGGAGTAAAATAAGCAGAAAATATATTTTTATTGAGATAGTTTAAGTTTTCGAAAATTTGTATTGAAGTATTTCCAGCCAATTATTAACATTTTCGTAAAAAATACAAAGTTTGTGTATTTCCATGCATGCATGCATGTATTTTTTCAACTGTAAGCTTATAAACTCATATAAACCTAGCGAAATCTGTACTTGTTGGTGCTTGAAAAACTATTATATGAAAGTGTTTTAATTTTCTAAGCTATGGATCATGATATTTCATTTGACATTGACCTTCATGGCGATAAACAACTTTGTAATAAAGCAATAAATTAATATTATAAAAATATAGGATGCCATTTTGAAAGCGTGCACAGTCGGCGAACAAGAAACACTGCGTCTTTTAATTGGCAACACTATAACATTCAGTAACCTCGTATAAACTGGCTGACAAGCAGCGACAACAGTTTCATTTCAGAATACTTAAATTGATATTTAGATATTCTGTTTTATTTCGTTGAAAATTAATTTATACTACAACAATGATTCGGCTGCAGGCTCACTGCATGATTATGGTGTGGTGAATGTTGACAGATATAGCACTTCGTCCTCGGCAAATGATTGTTAATTGTTAATTATGAAATAACAATAATCTTCACCATCACATATATCAGCATTACTTAAACTGCTTAAATACAGTTCTCTTTCTCTCAGTCGCTTTGCTGTAAGCTTTAACTTGAGTGTAGCAAGAATACCAGTTGAATATATAGCTTCTTTATGCATGACCATAATATATATCGGAGCTCTTGTATATAGCTTCGTCTGACCATGCACATTTTCCCTCGATATTTGTTTGTATACAGACACAATATTTTTGCAATGTGAGAAACAAAACGCGTGCGTAACAAGTTTTTGGTCCGCGGACCCATTTTTAAGCGGGCCGAGACTACCTCCTGAGGAGGTCTCGGCCAGCTTAAAATTTTGGGCCCGCGGACCCTTAATTTTGCGTTTACACGACAAATATTAAGAGTGCCGTGCCCAAAAAAATGGGTCCGCGTGCCAAAATTTAAGCGTGCCGTGCCCAAAATGACTGTCGTGTAAACGGGGCTTGAAAACAACACAAATCTAGAAAACTCGTCTAAAATAGATTGTGAGTATTATCTACCAAGTGATTTCAATAAACAACTAAATAAAGTAAGCAATAATAATATAAACCTTTCAATAATACATCTAAACACTAGAAGTATAGCTAATAAGTTTGACGGTTTCAAACAATTAATAGATTCGTTAAACATACCTTTTCAGATAATTGGCTTAACTGAGACATGGTTAAATGATAATAACAAGGATTTTTATAAACTAGAAAATTATGACTTTATAAACGTAAATAGACAAAGTAAAAACGGTGGCGGTGTAGGAATTTATATAATAAACGAAATAGAGTATAAAGTGCGCACTGATTTAAATTTAACTGACGAAAGTATTATTGAATCTGTGTTCATTGAAATTGCAACAACTATTGGCAAAAATATGATAATATAGGTGTAATATACAGGCCACCAAACAGTAATATTGATTTATTCGAAACGAAATTTAACCAATTGCTTAGTAAAATTGACAAAGAAAACAAAATATGCTATTTAATGGGTGATTTCAACATCGATCTACTAAAATCAGAATCTTGTGATTATACCAACAAATTTCTTGAGGTACTATTTACATCATCATACATTCCGCTAATACTAAAACCAACAAGAATCGAACAAAATACAGCAACACTTATTGATAATATTTTTACCAATGATATTGACTCCATAGAGTCGAGTATAAATGGAATAATTTTCTCTGACATTTCTGATCACTTACCAATAATTCATGTACGTAAATCTCAAATGCTACATGATACTATTCCAACAAATGAAATTATTTATAAAAGAATTATCAATGATTGCAATATTCAATCATTTTCTGATATAATGAAAACTATTTCATGGGAAAATGTACTTTTGAACAACAACACTGTAGACTCTTATAATTCTTTTTTCGATTTATTCTCAAAAGAATACGAAAAAAACTTTCCCTTAGCCAAAAAGATGAAAAAAAGGAAAATTGACAAAACTAGAAGTCCATGGATAACAAATTGCATTGCTGCTTCAATTAATAAAAAGAACAAGCTCTACAAGAGATACCTACGTCATCCTTCAGCAAGCAATGAAAGTAAATACAAACAATATAAAAACAAATTGAATCATATCATAAAAATAACAAAGAAAAAATTTTATGAAGAACAACTGATAAACTACAAGCATGATACAAAATTACTATGGAAAACACTAAATGAGATAATGAATAAACGCAAGACTATCAAAACACTCCCCAAAGAATTTATTTGAAATAGCCCTGAAGATATTATAAGTGATCCACACACCATAGCGAATAAGTTCAATGATTATTTTGTGAATGTTGGACCAGGAATAGCAAGAAAACTTCCAAGTAGTGAAAGGTCCTTCAAAGATTATTTATCTAATAATAATAAAGAAAGCTTTTTTCTTGAACCAACCACAAAACATGAATTAGAAATTGACATAAGAAATTTAAATGCTAAAAAAAGTCCAGGTTATGACGGCATATAAGCTTACAAGTCATCAAGAAAATTGCTAACGAAATCTCTGAACCTCTTTCACACATATTATTATTATTATTATTATTATTATTATTATTATTATTATTATTATTATTATTATTATTATTATTATTATTATTATTATTATTATTATTATTAATGGTTTAAGATACACACCTTCGCAATAGATTGAATCATGGTGCGTTTACAAAATTGGTACGCTATATATTTACATATATAATCTTATTGAATTGCATTAAAATCATCGTAATTAAGTATCACGCTTAAGTTTCTTTACTAAAACTATTATATAAAGCTACTGTACTGGGAAAAAAGCTACGGCGATATCTTTCTGTTCGGCATTTTATTGTTGTTAATGTGTTAGAGTTTTTAAGTTCATAATCATTTGAACTAGCCCTAGACAATGGAACATATTTTGACAGTGGTCCTTCAATTTCTATGCGTTTCATAGTATTGAGGCAATGTCGTTCTCGCCTTTCATCCAATCTGGAACACCCAAGTTGTGCTAATGCTTCCCTATAAGAGTAACCCGGTAAAATGATCCTCAGCGCTCGTTTTTGCACTCGCTCTAAATCATCGGCGAGGTACAAAGGTATGGCATGATGCCATACCACACAACAGTACTCCAGAACCGATCGTATTAAGGCAAAGTATATACTCAATAAGTCTTCCGCAGGGACACCACCTCGTCGTAATATGCGGATGATATATAAACGTTTAGAAGCCTTGGATACAACTGATTCTATGTGTGCATTCCATTTAAGATCGTTTTGGATAACCAGACCTAGGACTTTATGAGACCGCACAACCTCAAGCACATGACCGTCGATCAACAATGGTGATAGATCAGGTGATTCCCGCAGAAAGCAAACGCGTAGTTCTTTGCACTTTTTGGGGTTAAGTTTCATAAGGTTGCACGAAGCCCAAGAATTTATAGTATCAATACGGAACTGAAACTTTGAATTGCTGCCTTTTGTGATATTTTCAGATGTTGATATGTCATCCACAAATTTCCAAATATCCGTTGCGTGTGGTTTCACATCGAGATCATTTATCATCGCCAAAAACAGAATTGGACCGAGTTTAGTTCCCTGGGGGACACCCGCATTCATTGGCAACCAGTCTGACGTTTTCCCTCCAAGTTTGACCCGATGACGGCGGTTAGTTAGGAAGTTGATAATCCAAGGCAACAGGGACGATCTAACACCTCGGTCCAACAGCTTTAATATTAGTAAATTATGTCCTATACGGTCAAAAGCCTTTTCGAAGTCAAGGAAACAAAGTCTAAGATGTTTTTCAGGACACTCTAAGTTGCACAACCAAGTGTGGATCATGTCTAAAAGACAATAAGTTGTGGATGTTCCTTTCAAGCATCCAAACTCCTTGGGGTCGATCTTGTCTTTAATATCGGTTATCATCCACCCGACCACGAAATCTTCAAGAACCTTAGCCAGGCAGGGTGTCAATGAGATGGGTCTGGTGTCACCTTCACAGGTAGGAGGTTGTGATTTTGGAACTGGTATGATGTCTGAGTCTTTCCATATTGCAGGCACGATTCCAGATGAAAGTGATTCGTTGAAAATAGTTGCAACAGGTTCGGCTAATTCATGGGCAAACTCTTTCA